CCCAGCCTAAAAAATTATTTTTTAAAATTATTGTTTAATTTATTTTTATAGCACACTAACAGTTTGACCCTGAATGGTTTTTTAGATTGTAGTAGGCACAGCTGCCCAGTGGGCTCAAGAAAAATGGATTGCACTTTTAATTTAGGGGATAAACATAGAGTATTGCCCTGCTTGGAGATCTGTTAGTAGACGCTGAAGTTCTTGTGGCCCCAGTGTCCTGCCTACAGAGAGAGTTAGAACTTTTGAACTTGACTCTTCTTTGACACCCTGGTTATATCCTTCAGGTGGCTGGCCAGAAGGATTGTGGCAACATTTGGTCTTTTCTTCTATAGGATTTAGGACTCATGGTTAGGGGCTGGCTAATCAGAGTTGATGACTTTGTTTCTGTTCCACTTTATGTATGGAAAGAGAAAAAATGGTAATGAGGTAGAGGTCCTAGTGGCCATCCCTACACAACTGGCTAGGCATTGTACTGGCTTTGGAGCAGCCATCCAAGTTTTGGGGGGCAGCAGAAAGATGTAGTGGAAAGAGTAGCTGTACTGCTAGCTAGCTCTATGGCTTTGAGAAAATCATTTAACCTTTTTGAGCCTCAGTGTTATTTGTGAAGCACTGGTAGCAGTACACACCATAGTCGGGTTTGGGGAAGATTAGAAATACCATATGCTGTCCAGGCATGGTGGCTTACGCCTGAAATCCCAGCACTTTGGTAGGCCGAGGCGGGTGGATCACGAGGTCAGGAGATCGAAACCATCCTGGCTAACATGGTGAAACCCTGTCTCTACTAAAAATACAAAAAATTAGCCAGGCCTTGTGGCGGGCGCCTGTAGTCCCAGCTACTTGGGAGGCTGAGGCAGGAGAATGGGATGAAGCCGGGAGGTGGAGGTTGCAGTGAGCTGAGATCACGCCACTGCACTCCAGCCTGGGCGACAGAGCAAGACTTCATCTCACCATCTCACAAAAAAAAACACAAAAAAAAACAAAAAAAGAAATACCATATGCTAAACGTCTATCCTTGAGGTCCCAAGAAATAGGGCCTCGGTGTTGTGATGATTATTACTCATTTTGTCCTCCTCTTCCAACCTGCAGCTCATCCTGCTTTCTAGGGGTGCTGTGACACTTTCTCAGGCCCATGGGAGTAGGAAGAAAGCTCTATTCTACTCTTTTTTTTTTTTTTTTGAGACGGAGTTTCGTTCTTGTTGCTCAGGCTGAAGTGCAATGGTGTGATCTCGGCTCACTGCAGCCTCCGCCTCCTGGATTCAAGTGATTCTCCTGCCTCAGCCTCCCAAGTAACTGGGATTACAGGCATGCGCCACTGTGCCTGGCTAAGTTTTTATGTTTTTAGTAGAGATGGGGTTTCTCCATGTTGGTCAGGCTGGTCTCGAACTCCCAACCTCAGGTGATCCACCTGCCGTGTGAGCCACCATGCCCAGCCTATGCTACTCTTTTTTCTTTTTTTCTTTCTTTTTTTTGATATGAAGTCTCGCTCTTGTTGTCCAGGCTGGAGTGCAGTGGCCTGGTCTTGGCTCACTGCAACCTCTGCCTCCCAGGTTCAAGCGATTCTCCTGCCTCAGCCTCCTGAGTAGCTGGGATTACAGGCACCTGCCACCATAGGACTAGTTTTTTTGTATTTTTTTTAGTAGAGACAGAGTTTCACCGGGTTAGCCAGGATGGTCTCGATCTCCTGACCTCGTGATCTGCCCGTCTCGGCCTCCCAAAGTGCTGGGATTACAGGCTTGAGCCACCGCGCCTGGCCACAATCAAGCTTTTGAATCACCAGGGTAATAAGTTTTTTTTCCTTTGACTTTTGGGAATTACTGAATAGCTCTGTCCTTAGGGAGTGTATTTTTTATTTATTTTTTTGATACAGTCTTGCTCTGTTGCCAGGCTGGAATGCAGTGGGGCAGTCTTGGCTCACTGCAATCTCCACCTCCTAGGTTCTAGCAGTTCCCCTGCCTCAGCCTCCCAAGTAGCTGGGACTACAGGTGTATACCACCATGCCCGGCTAATTTTTTGTATTTTAGTAGAGATGGGGTTTCACCATGTTGGCCAGGATGGTCTCAATCTCCTGACCTTGTGATCCACCTGCCTTGGCCTCCTAAAGTGCTAGGGTTACAGGCGTGAGCCACCGCACACTCTCAGGGAGATTATTTATAATCAAGAGCCTTATGTGTGTTCTTCCTGACGTCCTGGAGTGAAATAAGCAGCTGTTAAGGCCACTGTTACTGAGGCCAGAACATTTTGTGGGACTAGTGGCTGCAGCTTTGGTGAGTGTATAGTACTGTACAGTGTCATCGGTAACAAAATGTTTAATGTTCTAAAATATGATTTCTCTTGAACATCAGAAATGTTAGAGTTTTGCTCTTGTTGCCCAAGCTGGAGTGCAGTGGTGCAATCTCAGCTCACTGCAACCTTCACCTCCTGGGTTCAGGTGATTCTCCTGCCTGAATTCTCCTGCCCAGCTAATTTTTACATTTTTAATAGAGACGGGGTTTCACCACGTTCATCAGGCTGGTCTCAAACTCCTGACCTCACGTGATTCACCCACCCCAGCCTCTCAAAGTGCTGGGCTTACAGATGTGAGCCACTATGTCCGGCCGAGTTTTGTTTCTCTATGTATTTTATATTGTTGTTTGGTATGTACCAGTAACTAAAATTTGCTAGTTGAGGTTGTGTGAAATGTCTTAGTTTTGGGATAGGGTTTTGTCCAGAGATCTTAAGAACTTTGGGTTTATAATGGTCATTCTGCTGAAGTAAGGTGGCCTGTGTTCTCGACATAGCTTTGTCACTGAAACAGCCCAAAACCTCACATTGCTCTTGGCTGGGCTTTGGTTACTTTATCTGTGTAACAGAGATATTTATGTCTTTCCCCACAGCCATGCCCACAGTCTGATCTGCGTGTTTTAGAATGAGACATTCATGAAAATACTTTGAGCCCTTTCCAGACAGCCATCTTTGTAGACTTCTAGGGGAACTGATTTACTATATATGCTTGCTTCTGTGGGGAGATGCCATCTTGTATGGTTAATTCAGTCTGTAAGTATCATATAAATAATATGATCTGGTTTTCCTCCTAGGAAACGACAAAGGGAAGAAGAGATTGAAGCTCAAGAAAAAGCCAAACGGGAAAGAGAGTGGCAGAAAAACTTTGAGGTAAATTTCTAAGGTGGCCAGGGATTCTAATTCCAGAATAAGGCAACTTGGTTCCTGCGGCACTCCCAGGACTGAGTTGGGTAGTCAGAGGGAAGTGGGATATGTGGGGAAGAGTGGGAGCTGTGAAGAATGAGATTGGTCTTGGCTCAGCCTCCTGTAAACTGTAGCCTTGGCAAGGGCAATGAGGATCCCGGAATGGCTTTTTAAAAAATTATTACTATTTTTTTTTTTTTTTTGAGACAAGAGTCTCGCTCTGTCGCCCAGGCTGGAGTGCAGTGGCGCGATCTCGGCTCACTGCAATCTCCGCCTCCCGGTTTCACACC